GCACTTTGGTAGCAAAGTGTTTTGCAAAGAGGTCCGCCTTACCTCATGGACTACTATTAGAGGTGGTCCCACTCTTCGATTAGAGGTGGAATGAGTCATCAGGCAAGCCCCTCGATCCCTCGAGAAACTGTAGCCAAACAATTCTGGGGGCCCCGTTTTTTTAAAATTTTATATAAAAGTCTAAGAAAAAAATTTTTAAAAATCTCGACTTACATCGCCCCCCTCCATAACCCCTTTACCCTTTTACCCAAATCAGGTGGAATAGTTAAAAACCCCCGAAAGTAGCTTTAAAGAAGGCATTTTCCTATTTTTCCGGTTGAACCAACCCTCTGTTATAGAAATTTAAATCTATATTCCCCTGGGCTTGCACATAATTTTTAGCTCATCTGTCTTTTTTCTTAAAACCCCAAAACAAAATTTGAAATATTTAAAATTTTAAGGGAGCTAGTCATTTTTTTTCCCCCTTTCAAACTATCTCTCTTTTTTTGTTGATCAATTGGTTTTGGGGCCAAAAAACTAGCCACTTTTTTTTTGAATTTTGTTTTTTAAAAACATTTTCCCCGGGAAAAAACCGGGAAAATATCTCCCAGTTTCCCAACAATTTAAACCTGAAAGCCTGTGTTTCCCCCAAAAAACCAAAACCCTAAAAACCTATCAATTTAAAGTCCTAGAAAAGTCATCAATTCCCCCTCAAAAAAATTTTGGCAAAGCAACCACTCCATCCCCGAAAGATGAACCCCAAATCCCTTGCATACAAAATCACTTTTTGCCATAAAATTTTGCCCCCAGTTATCAATAAAAATGGGATATCGATTTCCCTTGGGGGCCCAGTCCCTGCACCCCAGAAAATTTAAAAAAAACCAAATTGCCCTAACCCCCTTTTCATTCCTATTTTCCCTTTCTAGGCAAGAGCTACATTTTAACCCGGATCCCACAAGACCCGACTATTTCAACGGCAAAACCCTGTACTTATCGCAAAAAGCTCCTGTCCCCTTTCCCCTTTTTTCCCCATGGCCCTTTAAATCCCAAACACTAGACAGATAATGGGGCTTTTTCCCCAAATTCCTGACAAAAATTTTTAAACAACCACTGACTTTTTCCCCACCCCCCCAACAGTTAAAGGGAACCCAAAAATTATCCCAAGCTAAAAGCAAAATCTCTAATCTTTGTTTTTTTTTTTGGGGATCATTAAACCTTTTTTATAAATGTTTCACCTTTTAAATCGTGAGGTGTTTGTCTTGCGTTTTTTTTACACTTTTTTTTTCACTCAGGGGCTCGACTATCCCCTTGTGTCCTCAGATCTCTTTAGAATCTGATCAGCAGTTTTTTACTTGCTAGGGCCCCAAATTTTTGACGATCTGTCTAAATAAAAATTTTTCACCAAAGCAGTTTTTCCCTTTTTAAAATCTACTTTTAAATTTTTAAACGGGAAAAACAAGAACCGAAGAGGGAGAATTTACGAAACCACACCGACTCATGGGAAAACGTTTGGCAAAGGAATGGGTTTTTAAAGGGGGGAAAAAAAGGTGCTGGGAGCACTGACGAAGTTTTGGGTAAAATCCACAGCTGGATGGTGGCCAGAAAAAAAGTACAAACTCCTTTTGAAAGGGAAAAAAAGCCAACAAAATTATTTAAAAACCAGAGACTTAGACATATTATGATATAAAAAAATTACACCTCCCAATTAATTTACACACTAATGTACAGGAAACAAGTGGAGAAACCCACTAGTGGAAGTAGATCGTGTCTATAGGTTACACATGTTTTTGAAGAAATTCTTGCAACGAGATCCCAAGGTGTTGCTGTGTCTGACAGAGTCTGAATAAATGATTTAGAGAACCGACAAAATAATAAATGAGACACTTGTACTACATTTGGGTATCTTTATTCTGAAAACTTATCGCCAAACAGTGGCTTCTTCAGTCCAGTTCAGAGAAAGATCGAAGATGAGGAAGAGTTTGCGATAATCAGTCCCTCAGCCTGGAGTCGATGCGTTCAGCCCATTAGTTTTGGTGACTCCGCCTACCACTGCTCCACCTTTCTCTCAGCAGCATATAAGCTCCATCTCCACGAATATCCTGCATTTATATAAAAGATTGATTGATTGAGCACATCGACTCCAGGCTGAGGTACTGAATACCTAAAACTCCTCATCTTCCATCTTTCTCTACATTGGACTGAAGAAGCCACTGGCTGGCGAAAAGTTTCCAGAATAAAAATACACAAATGTTTCACAAGTGTTTCATTAATCATCGATGTGAATAGAAGTGTATAAGATCGTCCTTGTTGGTAGTTTTTTTATACACTTTGAAGTGAAGGTTGTCGGTGTATGGACACCTGTACAGGAGGACATTGATTAAAGGAAGTTGACCGTCTTTCTCGAGTACCAGTGTAAACCTAATTGATGGTTCGACACCGCTAACCTTGTTGAGGAGGGTCTAGACATTGAAACGTCTGGGATTGGAAACCAAATTATCGTCAACTTAGCCGGGAAATGATGTTGGGAGTGATGGTGCTGAAGGTCTTGGTCTCTAGGCTCTAAATGAAGAGGTTAGCGAGAACTGCACTAAGCGGGCTCCCCATCGCTGTCCCAAAGCTTTGTTTGTAGCAATTATCCTGATACTTGAAGTGTAAAATTAATTAGACTTAATTCTTTCAATAATAAATCTACCATACACTTTACCATGTATACTCAACAGACTTATCCCCCTATAATTTTGGCACTCTCTTTCGTCCCCTTTGCCTTTATACAAAGGAACTATTCATGCTCTCTGCCAATCCCTAGGTACCTTACCCTCTTCCATACATTTATTAAATAATAGCACCAACCACTCCAAAACTATATCCCCACCTGCTTTTAACATTTCTATCTTTATCCCATCAATCCCGGCTGCCTTACCCCCTTTCATTTTACCTACTGCCACACGAACTTCCCCCACACTCACAACTGGCTCTTCCTCACTCCTACAAGATGTTATTCCTCCTTGCCCTATACACGAAATCACAGCTTCCCTGTCTTCTTCAACATTTAACAATTCCTCAAAATATTCCTTCCTCCTTGCCCTATACACGAAATCACAGCTTCCCTGTCTTCTTCAACATTTAACAATTCCTCAAAATATTCCCTCCATCTTCCCAATACCTCTAACTCTCCATTTAATAACTCTCCTCTCCTATTTTTAACTGACAAATCCATTTGTTCTCTAGGCTTCCTCAACTTGTTAATCTCACTCCAAAACTTCTTATTTTCAACAAAATTTGTTGATAACATCTCACCCACTCTCTCATTTGCTCTCTTTTTACATTGCTTCACCACTCTCTTAACCTCTCTCTTTTTCTCCATATACTCTTCCCTCCTTACATCACTTCAACTTTTTAAGAACTTCTCATATGCTAACTTTTTCTCCCTTACTACTCTCTTTACATTATCATTCCACCAATCGCTACTCTTCCCTCCCGCACCCACTTTCTTGTAACCACAAACTTCTGCTGAACACTCTAACATTACATTTTTAAACCTACCCCATACCTCTTCGACCCATTTCTTATGCTCTCATTAGCCCATCTATCCTCCAACAGCTGTTTATATCTTACCTTAACTGCCTCCTCTTTTAGTTTATAAACCTTCACCTCTCTCTTCCCTGATGCTTATATTCTCCTTGTATCCCATCTACCTTTTACTCTCAGTGTAGCTACAACTAAAAAGAGATCTGATATATCTGTGTCCCCTCTATAAACATGTATATCCTGAAGTCTACTCAACAGTCTTTTATCTACTAATACATAATCCAATAAACTACTGTCATTTCGCCCTACATCATGTCTTGTATACTTATTTATCCTCTTTTTCTTAAAATATGTATTACCTATAGCTAAACATCTTTCTGTACAAAGTTCAGTCAAAGGGCTCCCATTATCATTTACACCTGGCAACCCAAACTTACCTACCACACCCTCTCTAAAAGTTTCTCCTACTTTAGCATTCAGGTCCCCTACCACAATTACTCTCTCACTTGGTTCAAAGGTTCCTATACATTCACTTAACATCTCCCAAAATCTCTCTCTTCCCTCTACATTCCTCTCTTCTCCAGGTGCATACACACTTATTATGACCCACTTTTCGCATCCAACCTTTACTTTAATCCACATAATCCTTGTATTTACACATTCGTATTCTCTTTTCTCCTTCCATAACTGATCCTTCAACATTATTGCTACCCCTTTCTTAGCTCTAACTCACTCAGATACTCCAGATTTAGTCCCATTTATTTCCCCCCACCGAAACTCCCATACCCCCTTCAGCTTTGTTTCGCTTAGGGCCAGGACATCCAACTTCTTTTCATTCATAACATCAGCAATCATCTGTTTCTTGTCATCTGCACTACATCCACGCACATTCAAGCATCCCAGTTTTATAAAGTTTTTCTTCTTCTCTTTATTGGGGAAACGTTTCGCTATGCAGTGGCTTCATCAGTCCACTACAAATCAGAAGGGTGTAAGGGGAGGAGGAGTTTGATACCTCAAACTCCTAAAGTAGGAGAAACTTTTAGAGAGGGTGTGGTAGGTAAGTTTGGGGTGCCAGGTGTAAATGATAACGAAGCCCTCAGCCTGGAGTCGATGTGTTCAGTCCATCAATCTTGTAGAAAGTACAGCATAGGGCCATAGACGTGGCTTATATACTGTAGTCAGGTGAGGCGAAGCAGGAGGAGGCAGGGTCATAGTAGTACCATCCACTAGTCGAAGTAGGTCACGGGATCTTCATACAAATAATTCCCAACCTTTGGACAAAGACCTACTTCGACTAGTGGATGGTACCACTACGACCCTGCCTCTTCCTGCTTCGCCTCACCTGACCACAGTATATAAGCCACGTCTACGACCCTATGCTGTACATTCTACTTGACTGATGGACTGAACATATCGACTCCAGGCTGAGGGACTGATTACCTCAAACTCCTCCTCCCCTTACACCCTTCTTATTTATATTGAACTGATGAAGCCACTTTGTGGCGAAACTTTTCCTCAATAAAGATTCCCATATGTTGCATAAGTGTCTCAATCTTCAACTTTTCGTCAGGCAGGTTTAATGTACACTTCTCTCAACCTATCAACAGCCTTTATTTGGGTTATGGAGTTATGCAGCATCATTTTATACTAACCTGGGTGGGACACTTGGGCAGGCATGACAACGTAAGTAGCATTGTCCTTTAGTTTGTGTACCAGGAAGAATGTGTCACCAGCGCGACCATGAACTTGCAAATAGTTGTTGTAATCATCCAGTTTGTCTTCATAGAGTTTCTCGTCACCTGCCATCACCTGCCAGCACACGATTTCCGCTTATTTATAATGATAGATGATGATGATGATGATAATAATAATAATAATAATAATAGTAATAATAATAATAATAATAATAATAATAATAATAATAATAATAATAATTGTCAAAGAGGCCTTTACCTAACAGACACTAATTAATGAACTGTTTCATGAGCTATGATATACGCTAAATACCAGCCATCGTGTATCTAGCCGATATAGTGGAAGCCGCCTTTTCACGATAGGGCTGTAGAATATCCGGAAACTATTAAGATATTTTACTGACTCACAAGGAGACATTTAGGGTACCGGATGTAGAAGTTACTTATTCCATTTTCTTCCAGAGGATATCTAACAACACCTGATTAACTGAGCCATTGATCTATACTGGAGAACTTAGAGTAATTAATGCCGGAATTATCCAGCAATTTTTCCCCCACACGATTATATGTAGTTTGTCCCCAGGACCTGTTACATGTGAATGCTTCTGGTGCCCGAGATTTGGATCTCTAAGTCGAGCACAATTACCAAATAGGAGGCCTACAGAAATAAGATGTCTGTATTCCTAGACTAACTCGAATATCTAACCTACTTTATTATACTAGGTTATAGCTGACTAATAGCTTAATTAAGGTTCAAGTTAGAGGCGCAGAAACACAGTTACCCCTCAGCAACCTAAGCTGGTGAAGGGGAATCTGAAGCAATTCTAATCCCCAAATATCCCCTGCGGCGTATATCACACACCTTCATAGGCATGCCTTCCAGACCAGCGAAGCAGATGCTCTGAGTATAAGGAGTGGAGCCCCTTTGTTATTCTAGGAACTTGGTTCAAGCAGCCAATCACAAGGAAGCTCAACAATGTTGTGAAGAGATGATAGAGTCCCGTGGAGCAACATTGACAGATTTACCTCTAATTATGGTACAAAACGATTCTCACCGTGTTTCTTGCTTGTAAATTGCCTTTCTGTATATATCCTCTGTAAATATTGTACATTAGGGAGCACTGAAATTTTGGTCAAAGCTGCGCTTTTCAGATATTTTTCCATATGTATATCTTAGATTCAGTGACAAATATAAAGTTAATTGGTTGAGGTTTAGTCTACAGCATTTGCGATTGAAATTTTGTAATATATCTATATTACTGAGCAGCGCAGAGCTGTGATTTATTTACTGTATCTATGTACTCTGCAGTATTTTTAAACATTAACTTACTTTCTCTCTTTTCAGATGCTCTGATTACTTATATACTTTACTACTAAGATGGCTACAGTGTCAACGAGGAAAGCCACAGAACATACATTGTTTGGCCATGACAGTGTTCTTCCAGTGAACAAACTTCCGTTCAGAGGCGATATGTTAAGGAACTGTTGGTGATATAAATATGATGAAGGAAAGTTTACTGATGTTACAGTGATTATCAAGATAACAGCTAAGGAATGTTCTGAACTATGACAGAAATCAACTGCAGACAGAAAGACTATTCCTATTCTCAGCCAGAAAACTAATGAGGAAAGAATAAGAAAATTGTACAGTAGAGGAATAGAGTTTAATAAGTTCAAAAATGTCTCAAAAAAGCTACATTTCAGGAAGAAATGAACGAGTTGTTTGATATAAGTAGTTGTTTGTGTCCTGCTGCCGCATGTCAAGATGTAGGCCGGAAAATAAAGTAGTGTGACTGATACCACCTGACCTGTAATTGTGATGTGAAAGTTTCTAAACGTGAGGTACAGTTCTTCCTTGACCAGAGAGGCGATAGGAAGTTGAAATTTGGCTGTGCTGACATGACAGTAATGAGGATGTGGGACAGAGTGATGGTAAAAAAAAGAGCAGGATGCAGCCAGAGCCAGGAAGAAGCTGGACGAAAGACAAAGTGAACTGGCAGCTGGAGAAGTTTTTGGTTCTGACGATAATTCAGATGATACCAGAGATAGCCCTTCTGTCAATACTAATGCTGACTATGTCTTGAGTGGTCTGACTGCCAGCAGCTCACAGCAGAACAGACCAAGACTCGCCACAATGGCAGCCACATGTGACCGATACTTGATCAGTGAATATGCTGTTGATTCTGCCACTTTAATGAACTGTGGCATTATCTCCAAGGACGATGAAAGTTAAGTTATTGGACCACAGAAGTTATGAGATGCCAGACACAAATATCGAATGGAGAGGCAAGAAAATTAATTAGCAAACTTGCAAAATATCACATCACTGTATTTTGATGGTAAGAAGACCTCCACTCGTGTAATGACAAAGAATGAGAAGACCAAGAAATGGAGTCCAAAGTTAGTGGTGAAAGATCATTACGTCATCATGGTGGAGTCCGGCACTGAATATCTCACTCATGTGACTCCCAAGTCAGGCCATGGAAAGGAGATTGCCAAGACTATTCATTTTTGGTGGAACAGAAACTAACTCGGCAGCCTGTTGTATGTGTTGGTTGTGACGGAACCAACATAAATGTTGGAGCTGACAATGGCGCTATTAATCATCTTGAATTGTGGCTTTGTCATCCAGTTCATTATTTCATCTGTCGTCTTCATGGAAATGAGCTGCCATTCCGAGCTGATGGTAAGCCAAGTGGTCCTGAGCATTAGAGAGGTCCATTGGTAAACAAATCAAGGATCCTCTGTCTGAGTTACCAGTTACTGCTTTCCAGCCAGTCAGTTCCACTGATTTCCTTTCTCTGAATGACAAGGTAGCATAGAATCTGTCCTGGGATCAGAAATACTTGTATAGGATTTGAAAAGGAGTGATCACAAGTGTGGTTGATGATGACTTGGCTGCTCTTGAACCAGGTCCACTGTGTGTGTCAAGGTGGAATACTTTATGGAGAAGGACCCTTAGGATGTATGTGGCAACATCAAGACCCAATCAGGAGCTGAAAAGAGTAGTCATCATGATTTTGAAGTTCAGTGCTCCAATGTGGTTCCACATCAAGCCGAAACCTTATGTCACACACGATCCAAAACGTCTTCCAGTCACTGCAATTTATGTGACATTTGAACAGTGAAGAAAAGAAAATAGTAAAGAAGACTGTCCAAAGAAATTCCTACTTTGCTCACACAGATCAGCTGCTTTTTGGTATGTGCGCTGATGAAGACATGATTGTGAAAGACAAAGCTGTCTCAATGATAAGAAAAATTAGAGAGGAGAATCAACAGACAGAAGAAAGTACTGAGAGCTTTGATGAGGATGAGAAGATTCTTCTGATGCTGTTGACAAGGACTTGTTAATCTACACTGATGATGAGGATGACAGTGATGATGAAGAGAATGACAATGTGGCTCCTATTGTCAACTCAAGAAAAGTAGTGATTCCTAAACTAAAGTGGCAAGAAAAGAACTATCATTTCATAATTGGAAGACTGAACTCAAAACTGAGCCTCCTTTCACTGCTTCTCTATCAGATCCACAGGTTCTGAAAATTATTGGGACTCCACTGGAGGTGCCCAAGTGACCAAACAACACTCAAGCTTTTGAGAGAGGGATCAAACTGATGACTGTAGCTTGTACTGAAGTGACTGGACAGAAGGCAACAGATGGATGTATCAGGCAAAGAATATTTTCCAGGAAAGTGATGCCCAAGTTCCGCACCAGGAAAGACTTCACTTATAACTTGTAATAGTTGAAAATTAAATAGTTGATGATTGATATAACCCATGTACATTTCATTATTCAATCTTCAAAACCATATATGATATAAACCATGTACACTTGATTATTATCCTAACAACCAACAATTTATAATTAATTGCTTTCAATGGTGTATATTTGATGAAAAGTCGATCGCGATGCTGCAGGGTAAATGGGCATGAAATGTTCTGAAATTTTGCACACAAGTTTGTCGTGACCATACAAATAATGCTTGAAAAGTGCAGCGTGCATCTCTAAAATTTGTATTTTTTCAATGCTCCCTTTTGTACATATACTTGCTCGTTCCTCATTTCTACCTTGGTTATCGTACTACAACCAGGTGTGCAGGCCACAAGACTACCCCTGTGTTCATAATACATGCCCTTCCACACTTGCAATGATTTCTCATGTATAAGATTGGAAGCATGGGTGATGAATGTTGCAGCGAGGAGAAGGCTGGAGGCAGTGGAGATGTCATGTCTGAGGGCAATGTGTGGTGTGAATATAATGCAGAGAATTCGTAGTTTGGAAATTAGGAGAAGGTGTGGGATTACCAAAACTATTATCCATAGTGCTAGGGATGGGTTGTTGAGGTGGTTCGAACATGTAGAGAGAATGGAGCAAAACATAATGACTTCGAGAGTGTATAAATCTGTAGCAGAGGGAAGGCGGGGTAGGGGTCAGCCTAGGAAGGATTGGAGGGAGGGGGTAAAGGAGGTTTTGTGTGCGAGGGGCTTGGACTTCCAGCAAGGCTGCGTGAGCGTGTTTGATAGGAGTGAATGGAGACAAATGATTTTTAATACTTGACGTGTGTTGGAGTTGTAGCAAAGTAACATTTATTAAGGGATTCAGGGAAACCGCAGGCCGGACTTGAGTCCTGGAGATGGGAAGTACAGTGCCTGCACTCTGAAGGAGGGGTGTTAATGTTGCAGTTTAAAAACTGTAGTGTAAAGCAACCCTTCTGGCAAGACAGTGATGGAGTGAAGGATGGTTGAAAGTTTTTCTTTTTCGGGCCACCCTGTCTTGGTGGGAGACGGCCAGTCTGTTACTAAAAAGAATAAGATTGGAAAAATACTATTTAAAAAAAAAGAAATAATAATAATATTTAAAATAACTGAAATTATGTTACATCATTATATAATTATTTTAATAATAATAATAATAATAATAATAATAATAATAATAATAATAATAATAACAATAATAATAAAAATAATAATCATTAATTTTTATTTTTTAATTTGTATTATTATTATTATTATTATTATTATTATTATTAATATTATTATTATTATTATTATTATTATTATTATTATTATTATTATTATTATTTTATTATTATTATTATTATTATTATTATTATTA